AAGCGACAAAACTTGGTTATTGAATCAGCTCCATCGCAACCATGTCTGCTCGCCAGCGACGTATGTTGCTGTCGTCATTTACTAAGAACTTTCTCAAGTGCGTCTTGTATTGGTTCTTGGTGTTAACGCTCAGGTTCGAGGTCTGCAAAGCGAGGGCTTCTCTCATGATCTTGCTGTCCGTCGATTCACCATGGTCCCCTGCCATGCCGCCTTCAGTTTGGTAAAGATCCGGTGGGGCTATTAGGTATCGTAAAATCGCTTCAAACTTGACTAGGAATAGATAGTTGATTATTACGAGCAAGAGCCTTCGGTGCCTTTCACTGGGTTGGATTCCGCAATGACAGCATTCATACCATGAGTGTTAAGCTTGGCCTCGTCGACATCCATGTTTTCATCCTCGGTTGCTTCCTGAATCGAGAGCCTTCGCGCTGACCCGCCATTGATCGATTCATTAACCGATTCCTCATGAGTCCGAGTCGTAATCTGAGTATGATTCAACTTCTCCGTGTAATGGCTCGTCGGACATATCCAGTAATGCTGGGTTATCCGCAATGACTACATTGACACAGAGTGGATTAATAGGAGGGTATAAGCGTGCAAGTCTATGACAATGGTGCCTGAGATAGCAGGGTAAGCACTCTTGTTTAGTGCAAAGCCCTACTCTCTAACTCTCTACCCCCTGATTGTTCGATCACGAACCATCCAAGTGAATGAGTTCCTTGATCCTCCTCGGATGCTTTTTTGTAGGTTGCTTCTCGGTCGACTGGGCATCAGCGCGGCTCCTTGGTCGCTTTCTTTTTTCTGAGGCAAGAGAGCTGAGTGCTGACATGAGGGGTGGAGGGTGGAGGATAGTTCAATGAGGGAGGTGGAGGGGGAGGAGGAGGGGGAGCAGCCGCAGGTGTGGAGCAGTTGGTGATTTGTAAGTGAGTATTGACTGGGCTGGAGGTTGTTGCAGTGAGCAGACAGACAGGCAGAGAGGAAGAATGAGAGAAAGAGAGCAAGCTGCAAGCAAGGACGGCATGTGGTGAACATCATGACCATTTGGCCAATGAAACTCGACCATACGATTTAGAGTTCATAAAAAATTGTACTGGGACGGAAATTCCCAATGTACTGACCACCACCATATGTCAAACCCAATGTACTGGCTCGCCGCACGTTGTACTCAGCGCACAGTGTCCTCTGCTCATTGCACAGTGTGTCCATCGTAGGCTGCACATTCACATTTGCTTGACTGAGAAGAGATAAGGTGACCGTAGCCTCAGTTGCTGCTTTAGTGTTTACAGTTTGCCAACCGGGTTGTCAAGCAACGTATGGAGAACGTTGACAACCTGGTTGGCAAATAGGTCACGTGATAATGTCAATTAGAGGGGAGTTGCCAAATAATGCATGACAACCCGGGTTGTCAAATAGATTACGAACTTAAATTTGAAACTTTTTGACACACGTCTTTTTCCCATCGTATGCATGTCTCTTTCCCATGCCTTCCCATGTCTTTCTCCCATTCCCGATTCGTATACTGCACATATCAGTTTAATTTATCTTTCTTTCACGCTCCGGAAATGGTTTACTTCTGAAGGATTGGAGGCAATTGGGTTCCATTGTCCTTGCGTTTTTGCCAAAAATAGCCTTGCCCCTGAAACCCTCCACGGTTGTGGCTGTTCCTGAGTTCCTGAGTTCCTGAAAGATGAGACCACATCGCTCTGCCCTCTTTTCAGCACCAATTCACTCCTGTTGTCTCCATTTCACCACTTCACCGCCCGCCACCCATATTCCATCTGACCCATGGCTCCATTCTCCTTCATTCCCTGTTGACACTTTGACGCTAACCTCTCAAAACTCCTCAACCTCAGTCTCCTCAGTCTCTGGCGTATGTTTTTACCTCATACCATCGTTAAAAGTCGCCGTATTTGCAATCGAAGAACAATAAAGATGCTGAAAAAATATAGCGTTCTTCATATTCGTGGTACTATCTCACTATCTCTTAAGAAATTCTTCTCGGATTGAATTGATAGTTTTGTTCTTGTACTGGGCCGTCATAGCATCCAGAAAGTTCTGGAGACTCTCGACTGAATGACCTTCCTCCTTCTCCTTCTCCTCCTCCATCCTCACTTTAACCAATCCAATGAATTGCTGCCAGCGTTGTAACGCCTTTCTGCGCGCTGGAGTAAAGGGCCAGTCCGAGTCTTGCTGTCTTGCTGCTGCGATGGGACCATGGTATTCATCCCATGCTTGGCGGACGGTCAATTGTCCGTTGTCCGGCAGCATCACGTACCCTCTGAGCCTATCGTCGAGCTGTGTCGATGATGACTGATGGACTTGTTGTGGCGGTTCCTGTTGGCGCTGTTGTTGTTGCTGTTGTTGCTGAAGCTGTTGTTGCTGTTGTTGCTGAAGCTGTTGTTGCTGTTGTTGCAAAAATAGCTGCGGTTGCAAAAACTGTTGTTGCCAAAGCTGTTGTTGTAGTAGCTGCACTTGCTGCTGAGTAGACACGAAATCATTCACAGGCATAGACAATGGAGCGTGCGGATAATACTGTGGCCTCTGTGCTTGAAGGAGTCGCATATGCACTTGATCACAATGCTGTTGTTGGGCCTCAATGCCTGTCCGTATCGCACTCACCTCCGATTGCATTGTGCTCATCCCTGACTGCATCGTGCTCATCCCTGATTGCATCGTACTCATCTCTGATCGCATCGTACTCATCTCTGATCGCATCGTACTCATCTCTGATCGCATATCCGCTTGCAACTCTTGTATCTGTTTACCAACGGTATTGAAAGCACCGACCATGGTCTGATTGTCGACTTGCACGCTGGAGCTGATGATGTCCGTGCGTTGGCGGCGTCTATTCATTTCGTCCAGGAGCTGGGCCTTGAAGTCCAAGAACATCTTGCTTTTAAATATCTCCGGTAATGAAATGATAAGTCTGTTGGTCAACGTCTGGTCGCCTCGTCTAGTCTCCATATAAAGGACTGCGTCCTGAAGTATCACGCGGCGCATTCGAACAAGCAGCTTGAGGAAACCGATCCTGTCGAGTTGAGTACTGCTGTTCAGCTTGGTGGAGAGCTTCATCGTCGCTGTTATTTTCCAGAATACGTCGCTCTCTGTTGCATTGTCTGGATTCACACCTTCCATCTCCTTGTCGCATTCCTTCTCCCACTCCTTCTTCTTTTCAGGCTGATTCTTGTAGTCCTTGTCGAAAGCGTGCTCAATCCAGGGGAAGATGAGGCGTTGCAGCGCAAGAGGGGGTGTGACAAGGTCGCGCTCTATAAAGTAAGGTTCATCGCGTTTGTTGAAGTGGGCCATATAAAAGGCTCCAATGACTGGGCTCTTGGGTGCATAGAAGTTCTCCATCTGGCCCATCACCCATCGGCCAAGATGGCGGATATTATCCAGACTCAGACCCAAATGGTATGCTTCCGAAGTGCCAGCATGGCGTCCAGAATGCGTCACTTTGGTGGAGTATACCTCGCAGGCACGCATGACAGCAGCGGTGGTTTCAATTTGGGTCCTGCTGGTAAGGGACTCTGTCCGGTGTGCTTCACGCTCTTCCGGAGCGCCGCCACCAGTCAAGAGTTTAATATTGTGCCAATCCTTTGGATTAGAGAAATTAGGAATAGGTTCATGTTCAATCTTAAAAATAAAAAAGGTGAGGGGAAATTTAGTTATCAGTCTTGTAAGCTGCGCGCACGGAATCGTTTCCTCTACAACTCGATAGTGGTGCTTACCTGGAAACGCTCCAGCATATAGAATGCGAACGCGGCTACAGTACATCGAAGAAAGTTCTTGTGGCGAAAAGCCGTTGCATACAAATTTACACCCTTCTTGTTGGTCTTGCCTCGGGTGATGCAAAAGACAAGGCCAGATGCCAGCCTCGACCCTGTGGCAGGATGCATTGTTTGTATATTAAATAGATCTGACAGGTTGAGGTTACGGATGTCTTCTTCGCGCAAGAGCATGTGATGGCGAGCCAGAAGACATAGTCGTTCCCGCATGTACTGGAACCGGTTTACAGCATTGTACGCACGCTTTCCGATCTGCTGAGGCAGAGGGAGCTCCCGCCATAGATATGAAAGCATGCGAATGAAGAATTTCTCGGAAGACGGGTCGCGTATTGCACAGGTTCTTGTACGCGTTGTTCCGGGCGTTACGCGATCGTAAACTAGGCCCACTTCGTAAGACTCGAAGGCCGTTCTCAAGAGAATATCGTGGCGAGGATTGGGTGCTGTGTTAGGGTAAGATGCTGTCCTTGATGCCTGCTGATTCCACAAATATATGAGCGCCTTCCTGATATTGTCCGCGGATCCTGCTGTCAGAGGAACATGGATCACCTTGCGACCAAACTTGTCAATGATGGCCTCCTCAATAACTGTGGAAGAGGATAGAGAGGAGAGTTAAGACAATGAGAACCAACAACAACGCTGGTATGCAAGCATAAACAATACTAAGATATTGATAACGCTTACCCTGTGTCTTCTCGACAATATTGCTGATGGAGTAGGCCTTAGAACCCTGAGCGATCTGCTGATCCCCTTCACCATCTTCTGAAAGATCGTCCATCTCGTCCTCGCTGCCACCCTCATCCAAGTCATGATCTTGATCCTCCAGCCGGGGAGTAGCCGCAGCAGTAGTAGCCGCAGGTGGTGTCCTTCCCACAGTACTCAAGGCATCATTGGTCTGTCACTCGAATGGATCCATATCCACAGGCCGATCAACTGCTTTCCAAGTAGCTCCTTGTTCCTGCTCCTGCTCCTTCTCCTGTTCCTGCTCCTTCCCCTGTTCCTGCTCCTTCCCCTGTTCCTGCTCTTTTTCCTGTTCCTGCTCCTGCTCCTGCTCCTGCTGAAGATGCGACGTGGATGTGCCTTCCGCATCCTCTGCGCGTTTCGGCGGTGCCTGCCCAATCACCCCGCTGTAGCCAGCCTCTGCAGAGATGTATTTTTTCACTGTTCGTTTAAAGACGACTGAAGTGAAATACTCGAGCATCCGAGCTGCATCAACGCTGCAGTCCCCGTTGTACCTTTCGTCGCAAAATGTCTAATGGGAGGACCACCATGCGCGCCCATATGAGATATGAGATTGCTTGCATGTGTGCCCGCCATACCCAGTACAGACCTCAGACATGAAGAGAAAAAAAATACAGACACAGGTAAACGCGCGCACCTTCCACACCCTGAGGTGGGTCCTATATAACCGTATGGTGGATGACACTGGATTCATCTCCAAAATCGATCTCAGGACCTCGTTCGCAGAGTCCTTTCGCGCCTGAGCTAGCTCCTGCTCGGTCATGGACGATATAGGGCGGTGAGGGAGCGACTCTTGCGAAATGGAAGCCGTCGGAGTCATGGCTGATCGCTCGGCTCTCTGAGTTTGAGTCGGGTTCGGCTTTCTCTTTGCTGGAGTGCTGCTAGTTGTTTCTTTGGGTGCTTTCCTCTTGCTCTGCTGCTGCCGCTTTCTTTGCGGTTGCTCCATGCGAAAGACGATTACTTTTCCGCCTCCATTCGGGAATTGCTGACTTTGCTGTGTTTGCTGTGTTGACATTTTTATAGCGTTCTGGGTTATGCAATTATGTGGTTGTGTTTTATTGGCGTTGGTGCATGCTGCATGCTAAAGACTAAAGGTGAGAAAATTCGTGTTTGAATGTGTCAAATGCGCAAAAAAAACCAAAAATCGATCAATTGGAAGCCAATACAAAAAAAAGACAGTTGGGACCAAAAAGTAGTCATGTGGGACACAGGTCGTGTACATTTAGCGCTGAAACAAAATGGATATACAAGGAAACAGTCACGCTATTGGCTTCAGAGTCCATTATAGATAACTTGCCTCTGTTCATTTTGTGTGTGTTGAAAACCCATCATATGACTGAATAATTTCTTGGACTGAGTAGCATTTCAATTCATTTATTCGAAATTTTTTTAGGGACAGTTTTCTTATCCAACTGTACGCAAAAAAAATTTATGTGTTAGCAGACATAAGTCACAAGTTTAGATCTAGGTAGGGGCCGATATACGGTGACGTATTTTCGCGTCCATTGTCCTGAATCACACGAAAGTCCGTCTTACTGACCTGTCTGAACAACCTTCACCGCAGCTCCCTCTCCTTAACAGCCATAGTCACTTAGACTGAATCAACATCCCAGGGCTTAGGTAAGCCCCAGTCAGCCCCACAAAGGGTCCTTATCGCTTAATTCCTTGACATCATCCTTCCATCTTTCCACGATGTAAGGCACACGCCGATTTCCATCCCCCTGTTCTCCTGTTCTATCTTTTTTTTTATTGCGCAGTAACCTCAGCGCTCCTTTTTACATCCCATCAGCGCGTAACAAGTTCTCTCCTTCTCTATTCCAACGGTTTTTTGTAATACACCTCATTTTCAGTTGTTTCACTCTCTTTCTCAATCCCGTTGTCTCTTTCAGCACCTAACCACTTATTCTGCAACTGACTATTGTATTTACTTATTTTCTGTCACAGCGACATGAAAGTCAAGAATCATCAACGTCAAAGATCCAAAGGTATCAAAGCACCCACGGATAAAGCTGCTGGAGTTGCTTTTTTGGACGTAAGTACAGTACGGCGGGGCAGTGCGTTTTGAGTTTTATTATTGTTAAAATGTCAGCCAATCAACACACTCGTAACAGCCTTGTTTTCAAACCTTTTTACTTCGCCTTCTCGCTCACAAAGGCTCATGCTGTTGTGGTTCAAGAGTCACCACCACCAAAAGAGCCGTCAGGCAGCAATATCCAAGTAGGCGATAATTATTCGGTCATGACAAAGTCGAAGGGCAACAGTAATAACAACAACGAGACGCCTGCGCCTGGGAGTGAACGATGGTACGAGCTGGGGTATCCGGGACTTGTCGTCAATGGAGTGATTAATAGGAATGTAATTCGAAACTTCGATACATTACTATTGGCGGCAAGAATTACCAACGGACTGGGAAGCGTTCCCAAGAGTCAAAGAGAACCGAAAGCCTTTAGTGGCATATTTTGTTCTGAAACGTATCTCAATGGTACCTGTTGCATCGCCGAAGTTTCCAGGGACCGCGACATCTGTGAGTTTCATCGCGAAGGCAAACTCCGAGAAGTGAGGTGTACCTCGTTCACTAAAGAAGGACTTCAATGCAAGGAAACGAGCAACAAAATGGGACCCTACTCCCAGCAAGAGGAATGGGGTTACCTATGCGGGAAACACGGAAATAGCATGCTCCAACGTGGACACCTCTATCGTTCTGGCATGCCCGCCTCCTTACTGGCTCGAGTCGAAATTAGCCCATTCATACTCACGAAAGATCTGGAAGATCAGAAAGAACACAACGACCTCAGTTTCGAACTCTCTCAGAGAAAGGAGATCATTATCACGGCCGACGAGTTCAACGGTAATTTTTCACTTGCGTGTACTGTATGTATAAGACAATGTACACAATATATCTGATTCAAGCATTGGCCTGACCTTCATGTAGACTTGACGTGGTACCTTGACTCTTCAATTAAGAAGAAATTAAGAACTGTCATTTGTTCTTATTTTCAATTTCTCAGCACCAGAGACCGTCGATGGCGAAAAGACTTTGAATCATTTACGGGAAAAGGAGATCTAGAGCTCTATGAAGAATGCCTCAAGAAAGGATATGTTTACATCATGGAATGCAATGAACATGATATGGCTAATGTGCGTTTGATTCAAGGTACCGTATCATCAGTGAATTGAATTTCTGGATACAGACACAGTGCGGCTTATAAATGCAGTGTGTGGGTTCTAATATAGATATTTATTCTGATTCCCAAAGGCTTCGATTCAAGTGTTGGGTTCAAAATTGGCTATTCAGGAAAACTTGCAGAACGCATCCTTGAGATTGGCAGGTGCCATTGCAAGGTCGAATTGAAGTCATTTAGGGCTTTCCCCGGTGAGGTCACGATCCAGAAACTCCTGGGTTTGACCGAGCATGATGTCAACCCTCTTGGTTTTGTATACTTGTTGGAGAAGATCATGCATGAAATTTTTGTAGCCCATCAGTATGACATCTCATGCAAACATGGGAATTGGCGCGGTCGGACAACACACACAGAGTTTTTCTGGTTCAAGTCGGTACCAGGAGATAATGCTCCTTATAAGAGAACGAAAGCTGAGATCGGCGAGCTGTTTGGAATCATAGTTACGCCATGGGTGAAACTACTCAGGGATATGGAGAGCAAGTTTTATTGACGCCTAAGGAGTTTAAGGACTGTAGTCTGCTAGCCACATACCTCGACATCGCCTGAATAGAGAGCAAATGAAATGAAACACAAAGAAGGTCCATTTAGTGCAGTTCCGAGGTATATTCGTCAAACTTACCTGACCGTGGCGTGCCGGGACGAGAATTATCTGAGATGACTAAGGAGTGGCGTTGTGGCTCGAGCAAGGACAGGAGTATGAACTATGTCAGAGCAATGTAGCGTGGGAGTTAGGGCTGCAAGAAAGAACAACATTACCTGGCGGTGGTTGTTGGACTATGATGTGGATCATGTTTTTTGCAGGCTCATCGCCAAGACACGGCGGAGTCCACGAGTTGCCTTGAGTTTCTTCTTGTCGTCCTTGGTATATTGTTGATGTAAATGGGGACCTCGCCGTCATCGTCGTCATCAGGGATAGGAATCGAGACAGACCACAGAGTGAGATCCTCTGCCTCTACATCCTTAAATCAAACCGGCTTGCTGCTCGAAGATCTTCGACCATGTTTAGCTCAATAATCTCCGTTGACGGTGGAGTTAGCTTGAATGATTTCGAGATAGGATCGCCGTCCACGAGACATCACAGAGCGGAGAGATAACTGGTCATTGTATTGCGAAGCATCAAGGAGAAGGCGGTGAAGGATGAAGAGGGAAGGGAACAATGCCAAGATTAAGATTAGAGAATATGCGGCCAGGTTCATGGCGAAGCGATGGTGGTAAAAAAAGGGGTGGCATGCAGCGCGCGGTAAAAAAAATGTTTGCGTCATTGTATTTTCAACTATCGCTACCTATTTCGGTGCACCTGCCAATGACCTTGGCAGTCATAAGCCAGTGCCACAGGTAATCAATGTAAGCTCATATTTGCCGATGTCCCGAAACGCATGTAAAATCGGAGAGAGCAATGGGCGCGGGGAATCTGTTGATGTCGTCGATTGAAAAGAGCTGTCGAATTCACCGCCGAGGACTTGCGCTCCATCGTGGACCACTAGGAGCCTGGTGTTGTCCTTGATCTTTGGTAGGCATCCATGCTCGACAAGGTTGCCTTTCGTTTCTTCATACATGGCGCGCACAAAATCCCAGAGATCGCTCTCATGGTAATGTCGAAGCTTGAGGAGCTGAAGGAATAGCATGTTAAAAATGTCCTGTTCGAAGAACACATGCGGGCACACTTGCAGGAGAGTCCACCTAGCGCTGGTAAATGATTCACTACTGCCGGAGGCATTCAAACAGTACTTAAAAACGAGAAGCCGAGAGAGAAAGAGTAAAAGTGTCGTCTTTCTTGCGTAACCGTTGTTGGCTTCTCGGTCAACAATAAAGGATCCTCGGGTATCATTCAAATACTTTTGGACAGCAGATCGAAGGGTCATCATGTCGTCCGATCCTCAATCGTCATTAGAAGCATTGAAGTAGAACCCCCAGTGCTGGGATAGAAGCTCGATCACTGCACGGGTCTTGCCACAGCCTATGGAGCACAAAGGAGCGCAAATTATAGTCAGTACTATACCTCAGAGCTGTTGGGTGATATCCACAGAACGCACTTTGCAGCATGTAGCCTACCAGAGACGCCAAAGACGGATATATGGTAACGGTTGTTTTCTTTCACAAGTTCGAGAATAGATCCTGCCGCATGATTCCTTGATGCCGAGTCAGGCGTGGATGGGTCGGGGAGGTCCATGAACAGCAGACTCGGCCGGTTCTCAAGTGCTATTCCGAATCCACGACGCCACGCTCTTGGTAAACCACGAATGGATCCTGAAGTAATAGGTAGCGCCCCTTCGCCCTTCACAAACGCGCCGAGAAAGTCGACAACTGGTCCAGGAGCAAAGAACTTGTCTGTGATCCTTTTGATGTTAGTATGGAGATCGCCTAATTGTATGGAAAGAGAGGGCAGGCAGCTATGGGTCAGTTGGATATACAAATAAAGCAAACAGAGAAACGCGTGAAGAGCAATTACTCCTACCAGACAGCGGAGTGCTAGGACGAGAACTATCCGAGAGATGGCCAAAGAGAGGAGTGGAGCCACGGGCAGGGACAGGTGCATGGACTATGTCAGTACAATTGGACGTGTGAAATAAGGTTAGAGCACGGATAAGCTCATGCGCGAGGTGTCAATGGAGCAAAGCGAGTGTTGATTAAGTACCCGGTAGTGGGCGTTGCACGATGATGTGAACTGTTTTCTTAGGCGGCGTCTCTTTGAAGACGTCATAGATGTCGTCTGTCGGTCAAGCTCTGTTGCTGACTTGTGCTCGGTGAGGACGATAGGCCTGCGCTCCTTCAGAGGAACAAGAGGAATGGAGACGTGCCAGAGGGTGAGATCCTTAGACGGTGTATCAATTTCCAGTCTGGCATGGATGGACACCTTGAGGTGATCGACTGTCTTTGATGGATCGATGTCGACAGAGAATGGTGTAGTCTCTTCATTTTCAATACAGAGCAGAGTTATGCGGTTGTCGGTCATGGTGTTGCGAAGCATTGAATGAAGAGAGGACAAATGTGGTGAGGGATGAAAGAAAGGAAAGATGGAAAGAAAGAAGGCGAAGAATGAAGAATGAACAAAGAGAAGGGTATCGAGGAAGGCGATGAAGAAAGACGTGGGAATGATTATGGCAAAGCAAAGGAATAGAGCAGCGCGTGTGAGCGGTAGAAAAAAGGTGGTGGCAAAAAAAGTGTGACGTCACTAGTGTCGACGCAAGTTTTTTTCTTACACACACTCACACCATCGCATGCCCTTTTCATCATCGCCTTTGCCACCACTCGCACGCCCTTTTCATCATCGCCTTTGCCTCCACTTGTACACCCTTTTCATCATCCCTTTGTCACCACTCACACGCCCTTTCCATTATTCACTACAATTCTTACGGTCTTTCATTATTCACTACAATTCTTACGTCCTAGCATCATCCCCTCCGTCGCCATCACTCCCACACCATCGTGCTTATCATCACACTCCCTTTTACCAGCACTCTCACGCCTTCATCGCACGTATCACACCCTTCTTCTCATCATTCTCATCGCCATACATCTTGCCACCTGTTTTCATCGGTCTACAAGGTAAAAGTTTTTTTAAAATATTTTCACACATGAATGGTATGAATGGTGAGGATGGCACGAACGTCGGGAAGAGTCGAGGGTATCATTACCTCTTCTTGTCTTCCAACCAGCATCTCTTCGATCCTTTTCTAACTGCAGAAGAAGGGCTGGTGGCGGTCGTGCATGCTCACATAGACGGCTGCCTACCACGTATCCCAGCAGTGTAGCGGGGTAAAAGTAGTGCGTCTACCATTCTCTACCATGCAGTGGATGGTAAGGATGGCATGAACGTCAGGAAGAGAGTCGAGGTATCATTACTTCTTCTTGTCTTCCAACCAGCATCTCTTCGATCCTTTTCTAACTGCAGAAGAGAAGTTGATGGCGGTCGTGCATGCTCGTATAGACGGCTGCCTACCACGTGTCCCAGCAGTGTAGCGGGGTAAAGTGGTGCGTCTAACCATCCCGATTTTTGACTTCCAGGATCGAGGTTTTTGATAAGCTGGCCTGTGCTGTCGATAAACATTTCAATCACCTGTCTTCATCATCTTTCCATTCTTTCAATCTCTCCAGTTCAGTTGCTGGAGTATTTGACTCGTTGACATGTCTCAATACGGCAGAAAAATGCCATGGCACGTAGAGTTCGATGGTATTGTGAACAACAAGTACTTCTACACCCTGTCCGTTCCGACCGAAATCCACCACCTAGATTATTTCAGGTATTGCTCACCTCGACCATCTGATAAGGATGCTCTACACAAGCGTTGGCTGAGCGTCATCCTGCCAAACCTCAAGGCGAGTAAGATCCAGCAAGTTTTCGATCAACATGGGCGGCTGGTTCGCGAATGGCAGGAACAAACGGCCGAAACAAAGGAATATTGGGACAAGATGGCTGAGGATGAAGCAAATGATATATCACGGCAACTTGATCGAAAGCATCATTTGATCTGCAAGCGAATGCTGTTGATCAACTGGATGCCCAGTTCCAGCAGTATACCAAGAAGATCAGGTGTCTTAACAGTATGAGCTGTTCCTTTTTCTTGCAACCTTCATTTGCTATTCCCTCCGCTTGTCCGGAATGAACTTTGCATTCTTATCTCTTTACTGATGACTATCAATTTGTATTTTTGTTCCTATGAAGATGTGCCTTCAGTGTTGTCAATGTCCCTCTAGCCAGCCTCTTCGGGCAACCTTGACGATTGCGGTTCTAGGACAAATCAACCACGAACGCCTCCACAGCCCAGTACTTTGGACCAGGCTGCTGCACCATCGACGACCTCCTCCGAGTTTGACTCTGGCCCAAAACAGACTGATTGTCCTGCGCCACATGTAGCTTTCGAGCCTTCCTTGGCAGTGGGTGGTCCTTCAACCTATACTCCTTTGGGTGATGGTAGAAAGCCAGACTTTAGTAGGACACAGACTGGATCATCTACAACGTCTGATGGACACGCGCCTTCTTTGGCTGGATCACACAGGACGCTCCCCGAGACTGCTGCACCCTTGGCCCCATCCGCAGTCACTGTGCCTGAAGACCTGTATGGACAATCTGCATCTGGAACTTCCACTGGACAGAATCAGGGAGAATCGAGGAGAGGTGAGTTATATCGCAGCTAAACGAACCAGACTTTTGTTTGATGAGCAATGAACTTACTTCTGTTTTACTTCATTGATATAGTTTCATTTGGACGCAGCCTGGCACTGGAGGATTGTAAGTGGGCTTACTCTTTGTCAAGGCTGTGGAATTTCACATTGACATTAATTTTATGTATAAATGATTTCATTATTAATGAGTCCTCCTGGTTACTCCTTGCCGAGTGACAGTTGTGGAAACGATCTTAAGGCGACAAAACCAACAAATCCACAGCCCCTGCTTGAATTGGACCTCCCTTCGACTGATCCAAATGATCTGGATTATTTTTCAGACCAGGACCTCTATGAGTCAACTACTAGAATTTATCGCTGGAACTGTCTTGTGGGGAGTGGACGATGTGACTCAAATGTTGACAGCCCATGGATACACAATGATGTGGAGGTTGGTCATGATTTGATGGATTTCAGGGATCGAGTTATTCAAAATGACGGCGGCATGGTGGAACCCCATGAAAAACTGTAAGTAGTTTCAGCCCTTGGACTTTTGCTGGCTGGGTGTAAGAGAGAGCATGACTGAGTGAGACCCTTCTATTTCCTAATCCTTTGAGACCATGTTCTATACAGGGCAGTGAACTTTGTGTTCCTTATTGAGGGGGACCACCAGACCAGAGGCCTACATATGGAGGTTGAGGATGAGTCATGGGCCGCACTTTGTGACGCGACAAGGAACCAAGTGGAGCCTCTCCCAAAACATACTCTCGAGGAAGTTCATTGGTGGGCGCACTTTTTAGCACGGGAGAGCCCAGAGTCCTTCAGGACTCATTTGAGAGCTTTTCCTCCCAATGACCCTACCCTCCACTCTCTGTTGAACTTGATGGTCAGCAGTGGTCATCTCTGGAGCGATCAAGTATGCAATGAGGACACCTACCTCAAATCACGGCTGGGACCTTTCTTAGAAACGTACTTCGGCAATATTACGTTTACAACAAGTGGCTGGTAAGCAGCGCCGATGCTCTCCTTCTCAATATGCCTGGTCACCTGTCGAAATGCCAATCTCCTACCCTTTCATGTTTCATAGGACGCAGACACAACAGGACACTCAAAACACAGACTACGATCTTCTCGTGCCTGACTACTCGACTATAACTGTAGCTGGACGGAGGGGGTTATCTGTGGTGCTTTTGGAGGGCAAGGTTGCTTCAAACAGGACATTACAAATCTGGGATGACAGAACCAAGCTTGGTGCGTGACTGCCAATAGCGAGGACAATAGACTCTTTGAACAATTCATCACATTCTGACTCTTTCTCTTGTCATTAGGTCAGGAGATGAAACTTGCGCTGGACTCGATCCTGAAGCTTCTTCCAGAAGAAGATGTTTGCGTTGTTGGCATCCTCGTTCGAGGTTTGTCCATGTTGATCATGTTGAATATACTTTAACCTCTCCAGCTTTGCGTGTGTTATTAATCTGTCTCTATATTTACTTGTCTCTAGAACCTCTGATTGAATTTTTCATAATGAAGATATGTGCTGAGGGAACATACATCTTGCGCCGGTTTGCGGTTTGTTACATTGCTACTGATCCTTTGAACGTGCTACCCATCGTTACTCTGATGGAGTCATTTCAACATGCGCAATTAAAGGTCAAGAAGACAGTCTCTGCTATTCGTCGTGTGAAGGTTCGCCCAAGCACAAGTCCAAAAGTGCCTCTCTCTTGGATCAGGCCATCCTTCAACAAGCCAACAAGGACACTCGTTCGTGATGGCGAGTAACATTCACAACTTTCCTGGCCTGTCTTTTCAACTCAAATCCTGATCATCTCCTGCTTGTCATCCCTACAACCTTGGCTTTGTCCACTATCCAACTTTTCTGCTTCTGCCAGCCAGGTGCAACCACCGGCACACTGACAGACAAACCCATTTGCATCTATCAGCCATTTGGCAACTACAACCTGCGCTCAACTGCACTTTACATAAAATTTGCGATTTCGTTGAATAAAACTGCCTTGAAAGCCTATTGAAGTGCTCTTGAGCATGATCTTTATTTGGAGACTTTGGCATGAAATTAAAGCAGCGTTGTTGTGAAGCACTTGACTGCCAAGATCATAACATTATCGGCCCTGCAGCAAGCGAAGAGAGCAGTGAAATGTTTAGGGGTCCGGAAGTCAAGGAGACGAAAAGTTGGTATCTTTATTTCAGCAGCAGGCCGGCCTTTATAGAGCACCGCCCTGATGGCTGATATCCTCAATAGGTCACATGAATAAAAGAGTGTCCTTAGGTACCCTCCAAAGTCACAAATTGAGGCCGCTTCCCTCTATGCAAGCTGCTCCCTATATGCATATATCTCTCTATATGCACACCACCTTCTTCTCTATACGCATTAATCTTCCTTCCATGCATGTCATCTCTTCCCTATATGCACTGGCTCTCCTTACATGCAATTAGCCCTACATAGGATTCTAGGATCTAACATGCTACATAGTAAAGTCCGCCAATACTGGCTCAAATGCACCCAGCCTTTTTGCGACCGATAGATATCATTAAAACCTATGTCCTTATTGGGGTTAGAGCACTTTTAAATCAACTTGAATGGACGCGCTATATGATAGACTGAAATTGAACACTGGAGCGAGAACAACTACAGCAGAATATCTGCCAAGTTTCTTTGATACGCGTCGATATAAGCATTATACATTGAAACCGGCTCATACTTTCTGAAAAGTATAAGTCGGCAATGGAGAATCTAATGCATAGGAAAGCAGCACACTTTAATATGTCGAAAACAAAAGTTTGCTTATAGACAAGGACGTTGAGTTACCAAAATGACTCAAGTTTGTGATGTCCTAGTAAGAAAAGTCTATGAATACTGAACAGATTCGTTAAATACGACTTCCATACTGTAGCTATATTCCATAGCTATCAGTGGTAGCATTGATAGGTGCAGAGGTGATCAAGTGAACCGGCGGGATGCGCTTTTGTGATGAGAATGTGCTCGCGTTAGACGACGCTGCATACTATTTCCAAGTACAGGGCCATGGATACTCATTATTTTGTAGATGAATGACACATCTATCGATTGAGAGTATTGGTGCTTCTCTCTTGTAAGTATAGCCATAGCAATTGGCCGTTTTGTGCTGTCGAAAGAATTCAAGAGTGATTCAGTGTTCAAGTTCTCTTTTCACCCCCTGCTCTCCCCCACGATTTGCATTGGTATTGTGCGTAAAACTTTATTTCAGATTTTTACTATCCGCCGTGAGAAAAACCTAAAGCCCTTGTACGTGCATGGAAGCTTCATCAACTCTAGTAGCGCTGTCGTTGCCGCTTATTGCTGAGATCGTGGCCTTGTTTCCGAGGGAAACTTGCTTCAAACAAATCGAGGGCATCTTGAAATTGTTGATGTGCTCCCTGCAAGTACAGATTGATCCGCTCCATGTGTGGTAAAGGTGCAGATGTGTCCCGTAATGCGTTCAATGCGGCAAAAAGCTCAGAACAACGGCTTAGGGCACCCAAGAATGGCAATGAAAGCGCTTAAGGTACTGCGTGATCCTCGCAGTCCGGCTCGAGCATGTCTGGGTGGAATTTCTCTTCATACGTCCATAGCTCCTCTCTGAACAACTTCATAGAAGGCATCTCCAGCTGCACTAAAGCGATGTGCTTGCAGCAAGTCGCCTCTGAGCGAAAGTATTCGCATGAGCAGCTGATGACATGGCCTCCAGTAGCCTTGCTAAAGTCAATCTCGACATCGTATTGTACTCCAACGCGCGTAAAGGATTCTACTCGGAGTATCGTGTCCGAGGCTTGCATGATGTAGTCGCCTGTGTATCCCTTCGATTCTCTGTTCTTGAGATGGTTCTCGGCAACATGGCTGAGCTTTAGTTCCGTTCTTTGGGCAGGGTTCATCCGACCTACGTTGACAACGCTGCGAATACATTTCTGTTGAAAGTGCGGTACGGCCATTACAGCAAGGACGTAGATGACTGTGTCCACACGCCGTTTCTGCTTGTCCTTCAAGAAGTGGCGTGCAACAGGATTACCACTCGGTTACCAAGCTGCACGGTTACGACACACAGAGCCAGGATGGGAGCCCGGCATCATGACAACTCCACTACGACACTGTACAATAGGCCCCAGACATGTATATATAGACCCTACTTACGATCATTAAACAGCATTCATTTCTACGCATTCCTACTTGACCACTACCCTTGACCCCTTGACTCTGCTGCTGTTGCATATATATTAACTGGCTTGTGGCAGCCAAGCGTTCATAGCGACGTTGCTTTTTGATCCTTCGATGTCGGCTCTTCCTATCATACTGAAGCAGAATTCAGTAAGCGTTGGATTGTTCACCCACTAATAGGGAACGTGAGCTGGGTTTAGACCGTCGTGAGACAGGTTAGTTTTACCCTACTGATGAAATGTTGTTGCAATAGTAATTGAACTTAGTACGAGAGGAACCGTTCATTCGGATAATTGGTATTTGGGCCTGCCTGAGCAGGCAATGGCCCGAAGCTATCATCCGTTGGATTATGGCTGAACGCCTCTAAGTCAGAATCCGTGCTAGAACGCGACGATTACCGCCTTTTCCGATTTTTAGTTGAATACGAATAGACCCTCGGGTCCTGAATCATACTATGTGGGGTCGTCTTGTGGAGCGGAAAGGCTTCATGAGGCGCCTGCTAATGTTAATTTCAAATATTGGAAGAGATAAATCCATTGCAGACGACTTTAATTGAACGGGGTATTGTAAGCAGTAGAGTAGCCTTGTTGCTACGATCTGCTGAGATTAAGCCCATTGTTCTATAGATTTGTTCGAAAGAACAACATCTCCTCTTTTTTCTCTTTTTTTTCCATCTGGGGCGCAGTTTAAGGGTAGTCTAACGAAATGACACTACCTCCACTTGCTTCGAGAGAGATGTTCTTGTACCACTCGATATTCATGCACCCTCACTATTCGATATTACCTTATCTTCCAGGCTTCCCCTTTCTTCCAAATCATCTTGATTTTTCACTGTCCAATGGCAGTTGTACGAGTGCAGTCCCCATAGTTTACTCAGTACTTTAGTTCTCTTAGTCCCTTAAGAGACACATATAAAAACAATGAAAGACCAAAAAAAAAAAAAAAAAAAGAGCTTTGTTCACTTGTGTGTAGAAGTGCAAGCAAGGGTGAGCAGATTTTAAGGGGCATTTTTATGTAAAGTGAGCGAGTTTTGGCCAAAAAAAATGGCTCGGCAATCTGCTTGTAGCTCTACTTGTGTGAACTTTATCTTTAATTAAGGGGTGTCTAACTGCATGGAACATCAATCATCGAGACATCCCTGATCCGCGCAACAGCGTGAAGCGCACATCTCCATGCAACCCTGGAGTTTTTTTTTTCTCAGCATTATCATTCGCTTGAAATCCTCAAAGCTGCCTGAATTCTCCAGGCAACTTTCAACTGTTGCCGCGCAGTTGGTTGGAAACATGGACAGAGTCAAGCAGAGACCCAAGACGAGTGTCATGCAGATGTTCATAGTTTGGCGTTTCTGGGGAAGGGATGGTGGCCATGTTAGCATGAGATAATTAAGTAGTAAGCATGAAAAGAAAACCGCGTAACATGGCAAATTGCATTGAAAGACATTAGAGAATTATTTACCATGTTGAAGATGGGGAGAGGTGTTGCTGAACGCAGTGGTGAAAAAAATGAGTGAGTCTAAGTTTGTAGGTGAACAGTGATGAAGTGCAAGTTGAGGTAGCGTCTTTTATATCAAAAGAATAGGAGCAGAACTGTTAACAGTTAAAAGTAGCGCTGGAGACAACACCAAAGGACAACACCAAGAGAACAAATCAAGGGACAACCAATAGAGTGAAGAGGCAAGAGAAAAATTTAGAAGACCGCGTCAAGGGACAACATCAAAGGCCAACACCAATGGACAACATCAAGGGACAACATCAAGGGACAACATCAAGGGACAACATTAAGGGACAGCATCAAGGGATGGAAAAAATCAATTGGAGTCAAGGGAAATGAATAAGTAAGGGATGCTGGCATAAATAGCAAGGGATGAAGAGATTACAGAACGCCGCACTTTTTCGTGCACATACGGAAGAATGCCAGCATGCTGGATTTATTATACAGAAGAGACCTTCAAGGAGAGGAACTCAGAAGACTGAATCTTCTTCTCTTTTCGTTCGGCATGGCAGAGGGGAACAGCAGCTCCTGGCGTCTCTTCTTCGCCTGCTCTTTGGCTAGTTGGTGGCGACTGGTCTCATATGTGCGACACAGTCGCAAGGTCGTCGCCTAGAAGGTTTACCAAGATCAGAGATCAGTTACGTATTTTTTTCGTTTGTTTAAATACGTAATTGTCCGCCATACTTATCACTTACTCGTAAGATGAGAAGATCATGAACAGCCAGTAAACTCATGCCCAATTCCTGCACAGTCGAGAAGAGGCGACGCTCCGGAGACCTGAAGAATCGCGTAATGTTTTTACCTTTGGTTCCCCAACAAATCTGAACCCTCTGGATGACTGGCCCTATTTGATTTAAATTATTCCGTAACAATGTTTAATTGCAGTCAAAGTCGATTCAGCAATAATCAGGGTATCTTCAAGCAAATATCCTTACCTCCAGTCAACAGACCACAAACATACTCCTTGCGAAGGGAGTCCACGCCGCCAACCTCAGACGTCCTCGCAACAAGAATATCGTGCAGTTGCCGAGGCAACTTGAAGACACCTTCGTAGCGATACTTCATTGACGCTGGGTCCCAAACCGTCGCTGATTCCCCAGCAGACCAATCTACATCAGGAGAGGATATTGTCCTCCAAAGAAAATCAACTTTGACCCCGATCTTCTTCCTATCATCATTGTTGATAGCCTGATTTCTTCTTTCCGTCGAGTCGTGACCGGCTTTTTCTCCCATGATAATGAAAGCACCTTTGACCGCTGTGGCTAGACGCCTACACACTCCCCAGGCATTCTCCTTCCACCATGTTTCCCCCAGCTGCGCTGTCACAAGGAAAGGCGACGACTCCGAGATAAGCAAATCCTCCCTTGATTGGTTGCAGATAAAATAAATATACTTGTTCAGTTTAGGTGTGTCCAAGTCAATCAACATCAACAATGGAACAGGGAACGCTCTAGACATAAACTTACCACTGGTCCAAACAGTAGTGAATTATTCTGCACTCGGGATCTTGTTGCCGCGTCTCCAATACGGCCTTCAACCCCTCCTTGGTGTCGACATCCATGCATCGGTCCAAGTATTTGTCTGCGTCATCTCCATAATGTTGGAAAGGCGGAAGGTCGGCGATAATTTCTTTCCAATCGGTTTTGGAGAACAATGCCTCTATTTTTGGGTCGTCCAAATCAATCATAAAGCTGTGGATTGGACTGAAAACATGGCAAACGTCAGCATACGCTCGTTTTCAGAGCCAAAAGAAAACTAGACAACGAAAAAAAGAATGAAAAGTACCTGAAGACAGCACAGTTTTCGTTGGAGCCAGCAGCGTACAGCACGTCCTCCACTACGGTGCCTGATTCCAGGACCCATTTCTCTCCTAGATTTCGATATCGCCCTTCTAGTGATAGCCGATTCTTGTTGGTGAACTATAGTCAAATAAAATAAAAATATACTACGTCAGTCTGTCATCAATGAAAACAAACTGGTAGATATAACTTATGGAGCTTACCGATTTTCTTTGCCTTGGCGGAGCTGATGGTGCTGACGCTGAGGAGCTGGTCGGTGTGGAGTTGGTTAATGTGGAGCTGGCCGATCTGAAGTTGGCTGACAATACCGTCTCAGAAGCTGGCGAAGCAGAGGAAAGTTCGCCAGCGCTGGTTTTGTCTAATCTCATATAATGAGGAAGGTAAAGTCAGGAGAAAATTACACATGGTCTTTGAAGGTATAGCATGATGTACTGTACAAGTATAAAATGCTCAAGAAAGCTAAAACTACAATTACCAATCGGTGTAGGCAGCTCTACAGAAGAGAGTGGGGTCGAGGACGAGGATGAGGACGATAGGGCCGGTGAAGATTTTACTAAATTACATTAAACAACGGATAATTAGATATAAGAGGTAGCCTCACACCTTCTTTGAAGAAATGATTGAACCTACCGTCTTTGACAGATTGAGGCTTCAATGGGAGGAACGAGGTAAGGCGACTGGGTTTTCTGGGAGCCGGAAGAGAATATAGTGAAGACATGTCCAAATCATCTTGGCGAGTTTCTAGTACTTCGTGTCTTTTTGAGAGAACATTGGCGCAAGTAATTTTGGACTCCACTTCTCCAGCATTGTTGATCCGAAGTCCTGCACGTGCGGCAGACATTTGAAACTCGACTTCCGCAGTGCGCTGAATCCAGAACTGTTGCTCATCATTTATGCGGAAATAGTTGAAGGATGCCTTCAGTGCATCTCGCCTTTTCTGTCGAATTACATCAGACTCCAGCAATTCCAGAAAGCCTTCGGTCGCAGTCGTTTGGTCGGTACAGTTAAATTTAGTAACGAAGTTCTGGAAGGAGACATGTTCATCGTCATCAAATCTCTGTGCCCATTTCAGCCAATCTTGCGGCACCGTCATGTCTAGTAACATTAAATTAGACAAGGGAGAGAGGCATGTCAATAGTATACACTTCTTGAAAGTGATCTCTCAAGTGCATCAACTGAAAACCACAGTGTCGTAACCACTTCATGACTCGGCAGAGCCCGAAGTATATCTGCTGGAGCCGATGAAGCGGGCCACTTCATGACATTGCGTTTCAGTGGAACATCTATGCCGTGCATGACCGCAACTGTCGTAACCACTTCATGACTCGGCAGAGCCCGAAGTATATCTGCTGGAGCCGATGAAGCGGGCCACTTCATGACAATGTGCTCATGCATGGCGTAATCAATTAAGGATATACCTTGGAAGAGAGAGAGAGAGAGAGAGAGAGAGAGAGAGAGAGAGAGAGAGAGAGAGAGAGAGAGAGAGAGAGAGAGAGAGAGAGAGAGAGAGAGAGAGAGAGAGAGAGAGAGAGAGAGAGAGAGAGAGAGAGAGAGAGAGAGAGAGAGAGAGAGAGAGAGAGAGATGTGCAGGGGAAGGATTAAGGTAAACAAGGGAGAAGGGTACAAAGAGAAGGTGATGGAAAGAGTAAAGGATAAGAAAGGGAAACAGAAGGGCGACGATGAGCGTGGCGGGTGACGAAAAGAGGGTCGGGTATAAATGTAGTGATGAAATAGGCGTGGGAGTGAAGATGAGGTTGCTGTTGAAGAGATGAAAGGGCGTGGGGAGTGGTGGAAGGATGAAAGAGGAGTGGTGGAAGGATGAAAGAGGAGTGGTGGCAAAAAGCAAGAAAAAAAAAATAACGCGAGTTGGTGACGTCACTATTTTTATTTCCCCGCGGTATAGGAAATAACAATTATTTTGCCACCGCTCCCACGCTCTTTTTACTTGTCTTTCTTTGTTTCTAGCTACCTCCTTTATCACCTCTCCTTTTTGCCACCATTCCCACACCTTCATCGCCCTTATCCAACTCCCTTTACCACCACCCTCCGCGCCTCTTCCTTTTTCTGTCTCTCCCACGCGCACTCTTCCCACATCTCTTTGCTGTGCCACCCTCCTCCGTCTTTTCTTATCGTTTCTCCCCCTTTTTTTTGCCTTGTTCATTCTCGCCCATTACCTTTGTCACTGCTCCCATGCTCTCTCTTTGACTTTGCTCTCCCTTTGTTTCTCATTCTCACCACCCTCAACTCCTTTCTTTTTGCCACCATTCCCACACCCTCATCGCCTGTGCCACCACTCCCACGCCTTTTCTTCGTCCTTCATCTTTTTTTTTCTTTCTTTTCCTTTTAAACCTCCATTTTGCATCCTTTTCTCTTTTTTGTTTCTTTTACTCCTTGCCTTCTCTACACCCAAATCTCTTCCACGACTCTCACTTTCTTCCCTGCACTTTCTTTTCCTTTGATGCTTCGCAATACCATGACCGACAACCTCCTGAACCTTTTCTGTCTTGTTGATGGAGAGGGCACACCCAATGCGTTTTCTGTCAAGATTGCCTCAACGGACACTGTTGATGACCTCAAGAAACTCATCAAGGCCGAGAAGACCAACAACTTCAGTGATGTCGATGCAGACCAGCTTACCCTTTGGCGTGTCTCGATCCCAGACGACGACGACGACGACGACGAGGACTTGCCCGTTCTTCTCGACAATACACCTGCCAAAGACAAAAAGAAGCTCAAAGCAACACGTGAACTTTCTGACGTCTTCAACGAGAACCCAGCCAAGAGAACGATTCACATCATCGTCCAGCGACCTCCTCCAGGTAATGCACACGCGTTGCTCTCATTCATTCCTTGCGCGTGAGCTTGTCCATTGTACTAACCTTAATTCACTCATCCAATTGCACTAACATAGTCCATGCACCTATCCCTGCTCGAGCCTCCACTCCACTCCCTGGATATCTTTCGGATGGTTCTCGTCCTGGCACTCCTCTGTCTGGTAGGAGCCGTTCCTCTTCACGCGTCATTCTCTGTTTGCTTTATTTGTATATCTAACTGACCCACCTGCCTTCGCTTTCCATACAATTAGGCGATCTCCATGCTGACATCAAACGGATCACGGACAAGTTCTTTGCTCCTGGACCAATTGTCGCCTTTCTCGACGCGTTTGTGAAGGGCGAAGGGGCTCTACCTATTACTTCAGGACCCATTCGTGGTTTACCAAGAGCGTGGCGTCGTGGGTTCGGAAAAGCACCTGAATCTCGACCGAGTCTGCTGTTTATGGACCTCCCCAACCCATCCACGCCTGACTTGACATCAAGGAATCATGCGGCTGGATCTATTCTGGACATGATGAAAGAGAATAATCGACCGCAAATACCCGTTTTCGGGGTCTCCGGTAAGGTTCCTTGAGTAATGTGTGGTTGCTGAATAACAAAAAGCACTTAATTATACAAACTAATTTTATCCGCATCCCTTCGTGTTCATGTAGGCTGTGGCAAAACCCGCGCTGTGATCGAGCTCCTATCTCAGCACTGGGGGTTCTACTTCAATGCCTCTAGCGACGACTGGGGCTCCAGCGACATGATCACGCTTCACTCTACCGTCCAAAAATACTTGAAAGATACCCGAGGATCTTTTATTGTCGACCGACAAGTCAATAACGCCTTTGCAAGGAAGGCAACATTACTGCTCTTCCTCTCCCGACTCCTCATTTTCAAGCACTGTTTGAAAGTCGCTGACAGCAGTGAGACATTTACAAGCGCAAGGTGGACTCTCCTGCAAGTGTGCCCGCATGTTTTTTTCAAGGACATCTTCAACAGCCTCTTTCGCCAACTTCTCAACCTTCGACATCACCGTGAGATCGATCTTTCCGATTTGGTCCGCAACCAGTTTGAAGACACGAAACACTACATTATCAAACACGGAGGTCTACCAAAGATAAAGGAGGACACTAGGCTCCTCGTGGTCCACGACGAAGCTCAGTTTCTTGGCGACGAATTCAACGGGGACTTCCAGTCGATGTCTTCTTCAGACGAATCCCCGCGACCCCTCTTGTCTCCAATTTTACACGCTTTTCGGGACGTTGGTGATGATCAGCTTACATTGGTTACCTGTGGCACAGGCTTGTCAATAAATACCCTTTTCTGGGTTCAGAGCTCAGGTTCTGGTCTGAAGGACAGCTCGACTACCTTTGAGGTGAGTAGTTCAACTTTATTAACGCTGGCTTGTCTTTCAGTCGCGTTTGAGCTCAAAGACTGACTAATGTTTGACTCTTTTTACTTCTTCTTTCTACCTACACCACAAAACAAACAAAACAACGCCAGTATCTTGAATTCCCAGGTTGGTCAGACAAGGAGTCGATCAATACGTACATTTCCCGAGTGCGGGATTGTTTGCACGACGAGCAGTCAAAGCTGGCTTTGGACGAATATCTCTCGCAGGAGGCAGTCGAGATGCTGTTCCAAAAATTTGCGGGCCGCTATCGTCCGGCCATAGCTGCAATGGTATGTCAACTTGAGATGACCTCGAAGAGAAAAGAGGCAATGAAGCGATCGAACGCACAGTATGCTCAGTACTCACAGTCTTATTGTCTTTCCGTCTATAGGAAAGGGTTGTCGAATACAGCGACCCTGGTGCATGGAAGAAGACTATCGAGGATGCAGAGGACAGGCTGGTATCTTGGGCGCATCGGCACATCAAAGGCAATTTGTGCTACGAGATATCTCGCCTCCACGACAAACACAACAAATACAAGGATCAGCTTGTGGAGTCTATCGACAGCATGCTGGGCCTCCTTATGTATCAGCGTTGCATGTTTGGGAATCACGACCTTGTCCTCAAGGAGGTAGATCCTCAATTGGTGGAGCATGCGTTCGGTCGGATCAAGATCATCCGCGGCAGAGCTGTTACCGTGATGAACGAGCCCTTCGTTTCCAAAGCTGTCGAGAACTATTTCGCCGCTATCGATCCCTACTTCGCAAGGGAAATGCGGAAACGTATGGTAAAGTCGACGGCTATTGAACAGGGATGTGTGTTTGAGCGGTTCATGATGAAGGTTTTCAGTGAGACGTTCAACACACGACCTCTATCGGAGTGGCCGCATCAGCCCCCCATCTCTGATATGTGTCCAGCTCTCGTCGGCAAGGTGGAAGTTGTTGGCTGGAGGGAACCTGGACTCGAGCAGGGCACGACTCACGGGATGATGTCGATGGAGGAGTTCATGGACGCTCATGTCAACCATGGATCAACCCGTAACAACATGCCTGTCGCGCCATTTTTCTTCCCCAAATCCAAGCCGTCGGGACCAGACTTGGTTTTCTTCATTCGGATCGACAAGAAAAGGATTGTACCAGTTTTTGTCCAGATGAAGCTGCATCAAGGGTCGTCTAACTTCTCGGAGAGGGATTGGAATGATGCACTCAGCACAGTCTCAGCAGCCAAGATTGAGGGCCACGCAAAGAATTTTCGCAAGTACTGTCCCGACAACGTCTACATCAGTATGATTGTTGCATACCCTACCAAATGGACTGACAAGCTGCCAGCACCTTCAGAACTCCCAAAGGACCCCAGTGGTGTTCAGCAGGTCGTGATCAACATCAGCGATGACAATTTCGGCGACATTTTCCCCCAGGAGCATGTAGAGTTTATTAATCGACTCAAGAATGCTCGAAAGCGCTCTGTTGACGACGATGACAGCGGCGATGAGGACTGCTCCAAAAAGCAGAGGAGCTAATCTTTTATTGCAGCTTCCTCTGCCCACTTGACACTCAATAAAATGCACTTTTATATTCTTATTGATGTGTTACCGAGTTGATTTAATCTTGTCTTCAAGTAGTTTGTTTGTTTCCATCTCCTGCACATCACTTCCTTTTGCCACCATATCTCGCGTTCACACACCTTTTCTTACTTCGACTCCGCCCATTATCCCCTTTGCCATTACTCTCGCATTTTCTCCACATCTTAATTCACCGACCACATCCGCCCTCTCAATTGTTCTTCACATCACTCCTATCGACTTTCTTTAACTTTCACCACCTCCATTGCTGAATTCTTTCCCGAGAGACATTCTCAACAACAACAAACAACAAAAACAACAACAGCAACAAAAACAACAGCAGCAACAGCAACAAAAACAACAAAAACAAAAACAACAACAACAACAAAAACAACAAAAACAACAAAAACAACAAAAACAACAACAGCAACAAAAACAACAGCAGCAACAGCAACAAAAACAACAACAACAACAGCAGCAACAGCAACAAAAACAACAACAACAACAACAAAAACAACAAAAACAACAAAAACAACAAAAACAACAACAGCAACAAAAACAACAGCAGCAACAGCAACAAAAACAACAACAACAACAGCAGCAACAGCAACAAAAACAACAACAACAACAACAACAACAACAACAACAACAACAACAACAACAACAACAACAACAACAACAACAACAACAACAACAACAACAAACAACAACAGCAACAACTAATGCTACTAAAACAAACACAAAAAAAAGGACAATAAAAAGACAAACCCCAAAGACAAAGAAAAAGAAAACGAGAAAGAAAAAGAAAAAAAGAAAAACAGATTCAAAGGAGCACAGGACTGAGTTAAGGTTTGTGGCTGACAGTGGCTCTCGTTGTGGCTAGCGTGTGGCTCTCATAGTGGATAGAATGTGGCTGAGAGAATGTTCTAGCTGTCTATATTCACATCGATCGAGATGAGCCGCGGTTAATTTTTTTTAGAAGAAGGATTGAGGTGTGGCTGGGAAAGTGAGGTGTGGTGCTGCCCGGTTTTTGCCAATAAATTAAGGTTTTGCCGCAATTTGCGAACTTTTTTTTTCCCGACCCGGTTTCTTCCCATAAATTGATCCGCCCTCATGAATATCTAGCATAGTGTTCAGGGAGGGCTGGGACTGCGATTGAGGAGTGTGCTCGGGCAAAGGCATAGCCGAAGCAATCCCAGAGAGGTCTCCAGTAGGTACTGGGTCGGGCATGGTAATTAGGAACCGAAGTAATAGAAAAGAGTATATGTTGCTGTGTAGGATGTGTGTGGCTTGTGTATATATGTTGGTAGCGCGCTCTTTGTTTGTATAGCTGTCGCAAGGATAAAGAACAAAAACAATAAACGCTGGTTGACCCTTTCAACCTGCTCGATATGAGTGAACACAATGAGAAAGAAAGGTGCTTTATATCAATGACTATACTAGGATCAATGCTATCACCAACAATGCAGTTCATAAGACATATATTTCTTTCGATGGCTTTAGTGTCACTCGACTATAGAGCTGTTCCTTCGATATATCATTCAGAATTGTCGCGCAATAGAAGCCCTGGACGACACCTCCACTGTAATCATAGGAGAGTGTTTCCACAGCCATTCGGCTGCCTTGAGGTTGTCGCCATCATCGTGAAGACCTTGGATTACTTGCAGCTTCGGCCAGTTCTGAGTCATCCACTGCACCTCCTTGAGACCGATCCGCTGAGCCATCATTTGAACATCCAACACTCGGAGGTTCTTCAATCTCTTTAGCTGAGCCAGTCCGCTTTCAAGGGTCATCTCGAGACACTCATATTGATAATCCTCGCGGTAGTTATCATAGTGAGTACCATATCTTGCTTTTACCATTGTGCCATGTCCTAAAATCAACTCTTCCAGGTTTATGAACCTTGCAAGACGTTCGTAGACCCGTTGTTGAACATGTTGGATATGGAATCCTGGAGGAAAACCAATGCGCTGTCGTCCATCCAACAGCTCGGTGACATCTGGCCTCGGAGTGCAGGTGATTTTAGTCTTGAGAACCTTGAGGGACGTCTCGCTTGCCCATGGAGTCAAAATTCCTGAGTCGTGGCGCATATCGACAAAATCCTGGGCCTTGAGGAATGGGAACCGGCGTTGGTAATACCACCTGTCATCGGTGGTGGTCATGACCTGGAGTCTTGGACTGGAGGATAGGATGTGGCGCAAAGTTCTGCTGGAAGACTTCAAAAGATTCGTCACTTGAACTGTTTCCAGTGTGTCACAGTGTTTAATCAAGGCAGCACAGGCGAGTGGATCCAACGAAACATCTGTTCGAACGTTCTTCCAACCCCTAGTGCAAGCGGAAAGCAGAGGGGCGATAGCCTGACTATTCCTCTTATCTTTGAAAACGATGCTATCAACGTTAGGAAGGTAGTCTCTTATACGGGCTTCCATGTCGTCCATGAGAAGACGACTCCACTTCCCGAGCTCCAGTCTCTCAACATTGCCACAGCTCCTCCAGAACCAATCCCAGCTTGATGCATCCTCCTTGTACCAACAATGGTCGAGTACAAGCTCCTTGAGTCCGCAAAGCGTTCCAGTTGCAACGGGTAGCCTGTCTGGATCAATATGGCCCAGGTAGTATGACTTTTCAGCGTTCCTGATTACTAGCTTTTCTAACCGAGACGAGCATTGAGACATGATGTAGAGACACCATCTTGAGTCCATTATAGATGATGAGCTAACACACAAACGGAGCTCTCGTAGATTCGGGGCGATACTGTCGGCAACAACCTTGTGGAGGCAGTTGAAGCGATCACGCTCATCCCAGTCAATATTGAGAGAGAGCACCCTGACACCGACACAGTGCTTCAGAAAGTGGGAAAGAAGCTCCTTCTGACCAGGCATCGTTTTCGTACTCTTTAGCTCCTTGAAGAGAAATTGAGGACCGGAGAGGTTTCTGATCCACGGACCATACTTGGAAAGACTTGACTGACGCGCAGGAACCTTCCGTCCAGCGTTAACTCCGCTTTTGAACAAATCTCGCTTTGGCCATGGATGTTCTTGGTGCCTTTGTGCTTGCATATAATCTCCCAGGACTATTTCTTGGAAGGAACTTTTGGACCATAGAGCAGGCCATAGAGGAGGGATGGTATGCCACAGATACGGAATCGCAGCATCATACCATTGCTTGTTCACCAGGGTACAGCGTGCCAAGTCTTGCATTGAGAGTAGCGAAAGGACTCTGTCAAGTAGCTCGGGAATGTCAAACATTGAGAGGATGGAAACAGGCGTGATAGAAAGTATTATACAAGGAGGAAATACGGGGAGAGGGTGGCAATGGTTAGCGAGATTATCATTAATTGGGTGTGTGTGTAATGACCTCGGTCTCATCCTTATATAGTTTTTAGCTCTAAGATTGTGTTGTCAGTCACATGAAGCTAATTTTTTCGACTTTGAGCTCTTCGAGAATTAGCCACAAATTAATAATAGTTAGTTCAGCCAGAATCTCCGCAAGACTCATACGTTTCAAATGCGCAGGTAAAAAAGAAGGACGTCATTACGCCTGATTTCGACATGCCATGCCGTGGACATAAAGCACGCAAAGAAATGGCAACTTGTTATTGCCATATGTCCAAATGCAGAAATGACATACGAAGAGTGTAGTGAAAAACCTATTACCCCCGAAAATGCAATCTAAGAATAGTTGTCCAAAGTATGTTCGACACGCAATAAGCACAACATGGTTGAATAGGCCAAATGAATACACGGTATGCTCAATTATAACATCTCATGACTTTATTCGTAGCCTTCAACTGATGCATCCTCATCTTCCCGCATCTTTTTCATATGGCTAAAGGCTCCGATATCGTCACACGCCTTTCTTTTTAGCGATACTGCTCCATGGGAGACTCGTGCTCCATCGTCCTCATTGTCATCATCTGATGATCCCTCGCGGATCCGCTTCCTCGATCGGTTGAGAAACGGCCTCCTTCTCATCACTTGTCCTGCAAGCAACATGCTCGATCTCATACTTCCGGTAGGTCCGTCCGATACGTCGCTGCCGCTGTCAGAGGCACCATAATGCTTCCTCTTCTCTGAGCGGATAATATTGAATCCTGTCTCAGGCAATTTTTTCCCGATCAGCGACTCTTCCTGTTTCGTCTCCACTGTGTCACTCGATCCACCGTTCAATGGCACATCGTTATCACTATTTGAACTTCTGTCAGACTCATCATCTTCACTGTACTCAGAAGCAGAGCTTGGTTCATACTCTTGAGGCACTCTCGACACCGATTTCATATCCGATTCAGACGCGGACACTGAGCTCGCATAGGGTACATCGCCGTCAGAATTCCAATTTTGACTGGACGCTCCATCATCACTATCATCCTGTCGATCAGACTCTCCATCATCACCACCATCCTGCCGATCGGCAAGCCGCGCGTGAACATTACGAATTTTTTCCCAACTTTCAACTGGGTCAATCTCTCGGCGATGGTCCCAAACTTCCACTTCAGTCCTTGATCGGTCTGCTATTCGCTCCTCCAACTCCTCTATGTTGTCGTCAATTGCGGTTCTGGCGTCCTCGGATTCCTTGGTCAAGCGGGTTTGGATAGCGTGCTTCACGTTGAGCAGACCACGGAGCTTCCAACCCTCGATGAATAAATCGTCTCTTGTGCGAACTCTGCTCAGAGCAACGTAGGCCTGACCCGAGGCGAACACGTTGCTCAAGTGTACGACAGCCTTGCGCAGAGTTAACGACTGACATTTGTGGATAGTCATCGCCCAAGCGAGCACCAACGGGATTTGTAGCCGCTCTTGACCATTGCTTCTTGTCAACCTGGGCTCTGGCCGGATATTGAACATCCTCTCTCCCTCGTCCGTCCTTATCTGTACAACGTTTTTCCCGAAGATATTGATCACCACACCAGTAGTCCCGTTGACTAGGCCGCCGGCAACATCTACGTTTGACGTACACATGACTCTCGCTCCGATTTTCAGCCGCAAAACTGTCAACAATCCTGTTTCTTTCTCGAGTGCCTCACATTTAGCTGGATCTTTAGTTATGCCAGCGTTATCGCGTGCGATGTTGACCCACTCTTCACCAGGTAAAGCGCTCAACCTTTTGCGGTTAATTCCGGCAACTTCTCTCTTGTACGATAGCAGATGGACAGCGTCGTCAGGAACAGACTTGGACTTGGATGCGCGGCATATCTCCAAGAATACGCCGGCCATGGCAGAATTCAGTTCCCCGCGCCTGATATCGTCAAGCATCGACTTGAATCCTGGATCCGTGGACTGTCGGCAGGCTTGCAAAAGATCCATCCGCTGGAAGCTCCTATAGACGTCAGATTTCCACAGCCAGTCTGTGGTATCAAGAGCCTTGTTGATTGGCCCAAGCTGCCCAAAGTCACCAAACATCACCACTGGGAAGCCACCGAAGACATTACCACGATCTACCTCCGCTGCTTCCTGAAGTGCTCTGGATAGAGCCGTCAGCATCATTCCTGAGATCATCGACACCTCGTCAATGAGGAAAACGGGTCTCAGACCTTCGCCCCAAATATCCATCAAGTTCTCGGCGATCTTATCAGAGTTGCAGTTCGGGAAGCCACCA